TATATTTTGCACACAAGATTCAGGAAACGCTGACCATTCCCATGCCTTTGACTTTGACCTGATGTTTGCTACACTCTGGGCAGGGAAGGAGAGTAAATTCCTCTGTTTGATACATTGAATAGTCTGTGCTTGCAACTACAATCCGGTCTCCAGGCTCCCAACTACTGACATCATCCAGAAGATTCAGTATCACTCCACCCACAGCTTCCACCTGGAAGCCCGAAATTGGGACACCTAATAAAAATGGAAAAAGAGAGGAGAGTAAATACAATAAGAGATTATATTCACCTCTATATGAAATCATCTTCAAGAAGATGGTTAAGTTTTGGCTAATAAGAAAGTTGTGAGACTTCACACATTTCAAAACCCTCTAAAGTACAGTTCTGCTCTGAAATGCGACAGTGTGAAATACCATTACAGTCTGCTTATTTGGTGGATCTCAAATAAAAAGAAGGGAAAAGATGGAATTAACAGCGACAGTAAAAACTGTATCAATAAAAGAAAAACCAGTAAGTATCAGTAAAATCTATAAAAAAAAGTTGATATATCAGACAGCAACAGTTTGTAGATCCAACTAGCTCTGCTTGTTTAAAGTGAAATGTTTCTGCATTTTAAAATTTTGCAGATGTAATCAAGGACTTGGTAAGTCAAAGTAGGGGAACTTGCATTTTATGCACAACTAAAAATGGTTTGGCATGCTAAATCATACACACATGCAATTTCACTGCCTTCTGATGTATTTGCCCAAGTTCAGCAATTCTAATTTCATTTAATGTTTTATTTATTGCACAAGGAAGAACTGAATCAGGATCTGGCTTACCTTTATAATGGAGCCTACCTTTATAGAACCAGCAAGTAAAAGATATATTAAAAAATATATATATATTTAATGTGAGTCAATATGATTGCATAGGGCCATAACAAACAATTTAAGGGTAGTAAGAAGGGTAGCACAAATAGCTCAACTACTTTACAAACAAGTGTCTGACTACCTTAAAGTCTTCTGAGGCAAAAACAATATTGTTCAGTAATTCCAGAAGTGGAAAAAGATGACTGTCCATAAACAACAAAACCCAGATCAAAGATCATCTTGAAAAACAACTAAAGGATAAAAGCAAATGAGTGGTAGATCTTCCAGGCTCTTTATACCAGAGAATCAACTTTGAAAAAAGTTGCCTAATGCTGATGAGAGAACTGAAGATCACCATCATAAATAAGAACAGAAACTCATAACACAGATGGAACTTTTCTCTCTGCTTGTACACAGTTTTCCTTTTAGGATCATAATCAACATCTCAGAAGCTTAGATTTAAAAATATATATGACTGACAGATTGCTAAAAGAAACAAAAGACCTATTTTATTTTAGTGTTTTATTGGAATTCTTATCCCTATCTAATATACTAAAAATGAAGATGGTAATTGCCTCTTAATGTAATGCTTTTCACATACTGTACACAATTAGATCAAAATTTAGATTGAGAAAACAGGCTGTACTGAAAGAGTACTGTGTCCTTGTACTTAATCCAACAGCCAGGCCACATGTGTAGCACAAACCAAAACTCACACCTGGAAATTAGAATTGCAACTAATAGTTCTAGCAAAAAAAAGCATATACAGATTCTTATTTTTCTCTGGCCCACAAAGTTTTACCAAATGCTTTCCTACCATCGTTCCACTCGCTGTATGCTCTCACAACAAACTTCTGGCCATCCACTGTGAAAAATTCTTTCTGAGCAAGAGCTTTCCCAGCGGTGCTGTGATTTTCATAGTCTCTCACTGATTCATTACAGGAAGAATTTCCACCACCTATAACACCAACTAAAGCCCAGGCTTGCCTGCAAAAAATAAATAAATAAGTAAAGTAAATGTTTAAATATAATCCCCCTAAACAAACTCTCCAAACATGCACAGGACAAGATAAGGAACATAAAAGGTTCTGCCTACTCTTCCAAACTCATTTTAAAAAGCAGTAGAAAAACAGGCATACATCATTCAAAAGAAGCATAGCTTAAAACACTTGGATGTTCTATACACAAACAGGCAAATATTAGATCACTTTTTCTTTTTTTTTTTTTTTTTTCCAAACTCATTTTAAAAAGCAGTAGAAAAACAGGCATACATCATTCAAAAGAAGCATAGCTTAAAACACTTGGATGTTCTATACACAAACAGGCAAATACGAGATCACTTTTTCTTTTTTTTTTTTTTTTTTTAACAAGATAAGCCTTTCAGAGACATTTTAGTACACTATTCAACAAGATACACTTTAAAAAAAAAACAAAACACACACACGAGATGAGAAGTAATACAGGCTCCTGTTTACAAACAGGTTTACTGGAGCAGAGGAAGACTATGAGGCACCACTGATGTTTCTTGCTGCAGCAGTGCTGTCACACAGGAGTCACAGGAGACATCCTTGCATCAGGCTGGGAAGGACGAACACGTCCAGTCGCAGCTGGAGAGCGGGGTATTTGACAGGCAATACCTTTTGAATCTTTCAGAATACTCAAGCAAAACAAAAAATAACAAAATAAAAAGCTCACCACACTTAAAACCTTTGGACAAGTGATCTTGTGGAGGTTTTTGAAGGCTGAGGCCAAGGGTTTCATTTTTTCCCCTCTGCTAGCCCTTCCCTTAGCTGGACAGTTATCACAGAATCACAGAATAGTTGAGGTTGGAAGGGACCTCTGGAGATCATCTAGTCCAACCTCCCTGCTCAAGCAGGGTCACCTAGAGCACATTGCCCAGGATCACATCCAGACGGGTTTTGAATATCTCCAGGGAAGGAGACTCCACTACCTCTCTGGGCAACCTGTTCCAATGCTCTGTCACCCTCACAGTGAAGAAGCAGACAAAGGAACTCCATTAAGCAGTGACAGTTATGAAATCTGTTGTTCAGCCTACAGTATGGATCAGCGGTAAGATGCATCACTCCACTTTTCATCTCTTAGTGACTGCAGAACTCTTAAGTTTCATATATTGAGCTACTGTGAAAAAATAGCAGTGAAACAGAGATGAAATAACATCTAATAAAATGAGACCATACTGAGAGATTCCAGTAAGTACAATATTTAGCATCAGCTTTGGCTCTAGAACACTCCTACCACCAGACATGTAATAAAATATGGGAATGAGAGGGTTCGAATAAAGGGATCCCTCAGGGCCGCAGGTAAGTGAACTTTACCAAAGATCCCTAATAGCTCTGAACACAAAGGTTTCTTTTAAAAGCAAGTCAGTATTAAATGAATTTTAAAAAAATTAACCCAAGCAAGCAAAAAGCAAAGCTGAAAATACACATCATTAAATCAACAGATGTATGACCAATAGCTAAACAGAATACAGTCATACAACAAACAACAGCATCTGGCTCTGGAAAGGACCCTTCTAGCCACATCTACTCCTATACAGTATCAGTGCCTAATGCTGAGTTTTAAAAGGTTCAGAAAAAACAAGTCATTGTTTATGAAAATGCAACTTTTCGCAAAAGTATCTCATATACTTTTCAGAATATCTTATACAATGTCTGATGAAACATCATTTCATCCTTATGCACACAAAACAACTGGAAAATTGGCAATAACAGTTTAACAAGGTAAAAGTTTATGAAGTCTTCACTAAGTAAAGCTTACAAGTTATAATCCATGTAAAACCATAAAGCTTTTTACTATAATTTCAATACAGTCTTTATTTTAAATGAAGGATAAATGCATGCCAGCTCTGTTTTCATGTGTATTTTCTTTGTTTCATAAAAAGGTAAGTTAAAACAGATCTGAAAGTGCTGATGAGATGCCAGCGTCAAAACTGATGTGGCATTTTCTTTCTAAGCCTGTTTTCGGAAACAGCAGCTTTGAACTTCACCTTCTACGGGAAATTGCTCATGCTTATTCTCAACATAGAGATAAATGATTCTTGAGGGAAAACTGCAAGAAAAGCCATGACCGTATATTTTAGTTAGCAAGTGTAGAAAGTATCTCAGGCACTTAACAGTGTATTTCTATGCATTCATTAGACCAGTGGCAGAAATTCCTGCAGCAGCCCTTCCTATCTCATATATTCCTATACCCAGGGCAGGAAGGCAGCCACATATGCAGTCACAAACCCCTCTCAAAACGAGATGCTAGATTTTAAGGCAATGGTATAACCTTGCAATTATGTCCACACAATGTGTATTACCAATAAATTTGAAGCAGAGCTTAGATTCGGGTCTGCACTTGATACACAGCATACATGTACTTTGTCTAAGCTGGACAGAGAAAAATCTTACATTAAAGTTCTGAAAAGAGATACGTATAGCACACTTCATTCTTAGTAGTATTGCTCACTGGAAGAGCAATAATATTTATCTTATATAGAGAGTTTTTATCAGCAGATTTCAGAACATTTTACAAAGCACAACAGCAATATTATCTCCATTTTACAGTTGTGAAATCTGAAGTAAAGGAAGGTAAAGTGCTTTGTCAAGAGTCACCCAAAGGCCAATGGACTGAAGGAAAGGTGCATTAAGTCTAGCACACTGATGTTGTGAAGAAAAGGACAGAACACTACAAAGGCAGCTTGTAGAAAAAAAGGTGCTACAGGAGCACAGGAGCCAGAAAGAGGAAAGGAAAGAGAAAAATAAATGTAGAGACAAGGATCATATATATAAGTAGAAGCGGAGCAGGGGGAACAAGAGCAGTGCGGTAGATGTGAGTACATGCAAAAGGCATTATCAAGAGCCAGTGAAAAGCAAGGTGGCTAGAGGGGGTATGAGAAAGTAGAATGTAGAAGGGAGCTCTTTGATGTGGACCAGAAAGGGTCCTGAAAGGCCAGAAAAGAAGAGGCTGTAGCAGTCCAGATAAAACCAATGACATGTGTCAGCAAAGCAGGGGTGAAGTTGTGCCCAGCTGCCTCATAAAGGGCAACTCCACCACCTCCCCTTCCTGGCCTGTCTTTCCTAAAAAGCCCATAGCCATCCATGACAGCATCCCAGTCATGTGAGCTATCCCACCATGTCTCTGTAACTGCAACGAGATCATGGCCCTGCGACCACACACAGATCTCTAACTCTTCCTGTTTATTCCCCATGCTGCGTGCATTGGTGTACAGGCACTTCAGAGAGCCAGTCAAGCATGCAAGCTTCCCAGGAGAGGTGCAAGAGGATCCTCCATAGCCATGTCCCATGCTGTCTCCCCTGGCTGTATGCACCCGCTGGAGGCATCCTGACTTGAGCGGTGTTTTACTGACTCTCCTGCCACTATACCACTCCCCTTCCCCCATCTTGCCTAGTTTAAAGCCCTCCTTACCAGGCTGGCCAACCTGCTGGCAAAGACACGCGTGCCCCGCTTGGTAAGGTGGATCCCATCACTCCCCATCAGCTGTTGATCTTCAAACAGGGTCCCATGGTCATAGAAACCAAAGCCCTGTTGCCAACACCAGCGGCGCAGCCAGCTGTTAACTTGGAAAACTCGTCTACTCCTCCTCCCATCCTTTCCCCTCACAGGGGAGATTGAGGAGAAAATGACCTGGGCTCCCAGACCCTTGACCACCATTCCCAGAGCTCTGAAGCTCTTAGCCAGGTGCCTGCAGGGAGCTGGAAACTGTCCTTGATGTATTTCTACTTCCCTACAGCATTGCTCAATGAATCAAAGTTTTTGGAAATGAAAAACAAACCACAGAAAGCTGCCACCAAGTTGAAAAATCAGAGTATTTTGTTGTCTGCTGCCTCTGCACGTAATTATGGCATTATGGAGCAGTGAAAGACTAAAACATCATTAAAAAGCTGAAAAAAATTGTATCATTAAGGTTGAATCAAAGGAAAACAGGGTCAGTCAGCTGGACTGTAGTCCATTGCTAATGCAAAGGTAGGTATTAAAACCACCAGCTGCCTTTATTTCAGCCCTCTTAAACCCAAACATTAAAAAGAGTGTAAAAGACCAAATGAAATTGTTTGGTTTTAACCCACTCATGAGAATAGTATATACTGGACATGCTTTTCAGTAGTACCAGCAAACAAGGTGAACCTTCCATACACCAACATTTAAAATAAGTATCACAGAATTTAGCGCATCCTATTTTGGATGAAGAGACAGAAGCAGAGAAGGACATAACACAATATTTATCACCACACTGAACCCTTTTATTAGCTTTACAAGTTTAAAAAAAAAATGACCCTGCTTTTCCTTGGTGACCACCAAAAAATGAGTTGCTTGTCCATCTTCTGCTGCAGAGAACAGAATACCACAATTTTATGTGCTTAAAAGAGTCTCTTAATACTAATGAAAATAGACAGGAATCAGTTCAGCAGAAAAGGAAAAAAGGATATCTACTTCACAGAAGCAGGTTAAAGAAGTTCCTCATTTTAGATTAATTGCTGTGGCCGTCACAGGCAGAGATAAACACCAGAACCCGTCATCTGGATCAAGGCTAGCTGCTCAGGTACTGAAAAAGTTTCACGCAGTCTTTTCAACTTTCAGAAGAGGTACTTATTCTGGGACACGTAGGTCTCAGTACCTCTAACAATTCTGTGATTCTGTAACAAAACTGCTTCGCAGGCAAGCTTGAAAGCACTTTCCACAGGACCACATGGCCAGATCTTTACACAGCTATTTTTATGAACATGTTTCTGAAGGGAATCAAGGTTGTAATACGCAATCTTGACTGATATTCTGACACTGCTTTGTCAAAGCAGAGGGAGGAAAATAACGAGGGGTAAGAATAGGATAGGAAAAAAAAAAAACACTACTGATTTTCTGAAAGACAAAAAGAGGTTGTACAAAACCATCTTTATGGAAACTGAAGAACTGGTGAACAATTAAGAGATTTGGTGTCCCTTTCACACTTATTATCAACCTGTACAGCAGCAAGTCAGAGTCAAAACATGCACTGCAAAAAGTCATTTACAATAACAAAACGAATGGCACAATAGTTTTAAGTTTCCTGTTTTAATAACTCTCATTATACCTTTGATGCTGTCAAAGTTTAACAAATCCCCCAAAGAGGGTAGAAGCTGTATCTAAACTTTACTCAACACAAAAGGAACAATAAATTATTTACCTGTAACTCAATCCTCTGACAAACTTGCTTCCCAGAAGATTCTGAATAGTCAATCTAGTTTCCTCCAGTAGATTTTTAGCAGCTGAATCTCCTACAGCAATAGCAACAATGCGACCAGGACTTCCTTTTTTTAGTAAGCTCTGAAGTTTCAAGCTTTCTTCTGAAAACTGATGAGTATCAAACTTTAATACTTCCAAAACCTCTGCGGTGTCCTGATCGATCACTCTCACATTTAGTCCTCGGGAAAAATTCTTTTTAAATGTATAATGACCATAGGCCAGCCCTGAGAAATATATAGTCTTTGACAGAAGAGTCCATGATACCTTCTGGTGCCCATGCAATTCCAGCGTCCCTTCAGGGCCCACACCAATAAATTTTTTGCCAAATTCTGGTACATCAGCATCTTCATTTGACTTCCCATACAAAACAATAGTTGCTTTGGATTTATAGCGGCATTTCTCTGCTCCAATATGAAGCATTCCACCATCCTTTATCAGGATAAAACGTGTTCTCAAAGTAATATTTTTAGAACCATCTTTATCATCACCAAAAACAAGCAACCCTAAAGGAAAAAATATTTTTGTAAGTCAAAGTAATATCAAAGTAGACTCAAAAAACCCAGTTCTCCAATAAGAGCAACAGAAAAGTTAGAAAAGATTTAATTTCCACCCCCATGAAATAAGCAGGTAAGCTTTTAAATATGTTTAAGAATACTTTGGAAAGTAACTCCTACTAACTGTGATTTATCTTTCAAAGAATTTGGTGAGTTTATTCCCTTTTTTTGTGCACTATTTTGGTAGAATTGCTAACACACCATGACTAATATCATAAGACAATCAGATCCTGTACCTGGAAAGCTACTACACAAGCTGTTGCTTACTGTATCCTACAGAAAACCATGTCATTGCCCCACTGAAAGGGCATGAGAGCATTCATTCACCTTTTTAATGTTTGATGCTTTTGGCTTGGTAGCAGGCAGAAAAGTAAAAGCAGAGGATCTGGTCAATAAGCTGCAAAACAAAATTCCAATGCACTTTGCGTGTAATCACAAAATAAAAAATATATAGTCAATTGAAGCTTCTTGTTTAATCTTGCTGTTACATACCTCCATCCTGTATAACTATAGAGTGTACTGTAGCATCTGAATCCAGACGAAACAAATCCCCCTTTTTGATAAAAATTCTCTTTTCAGGATCTTGTCCAGGGCTCCAGTTTTTAAGATGAGGATTCTGATCGGGACAATTCTCTGCAATACAACGTGAAAATCAGTTTTTAAAAATAAGTCGTCACCAACAGGCCTATAGCAGTCAAGGGAGCGTTAGGCTGAACAGGCGTAAGGTAGCGTCAGTCACCCATAAAGGACTCCCATCATCTTCTGTGGTTACAGTACTTCAGTGACTGGTGCTGTAATTCACATTTGAGCAGCCAAAAGGCTGCAGGAAAAGTGGCTAAACTTTTTACAGGAAGGCAGGCATTCCTATGCCTAAATTAGAGTCCCTGAGGACCACAAACAGACTGAACTGTTGCCATACACCACACTTTCAAACCCCAGCATGGCATTTAGTATTTTTCCAGATTGCCTAGATTGTCTAGATCAGGTGTGGAGAGGTAAGTGACAAGTACTTGGATTTGCAACAGTCACACTGAATACAGGATGCCCTAGGACAGCTACCTGAAATACTAACACGGTCCTCAAGGCCACTGGCACCTGTGCAAGAAAGGCTGATCCCCTCTTGCTCTTAGGCATCCCAAACACTTCTTCAGGTCCAGGTTTGCCGATAACTCAGAAATAGGGACAAGGCATATTTCATATACTAAGTAGGAAACCTTCCGGGAAGGTTTCCTAGGAAGTGAGGAATTGTGGGTTCCAACTCACAATTTGTACTCTTTAAGAAGTTAGCTTAAATACCAGGCCATACAGTAGGTGGAACAGAGTCGCACCATCACTGTTGAAACCCCATGAAAGGTTTGGCACTACAAAGGCAACAATGCCATATCATGAAGCCAGAAAAGGAGATGTAGCATAAATAGCTGCTGTATTACAGTAGCATAGACATACTATGAAAACAGACTGGAAGTATATTTCTTGAATTTTTAAAAAAAACGGGGGGGGTGGAAAGGGACTGCAAAGGTTTTTGTTAAAGCAAAACACAACCAAAGAGATGCCAAAATAAACAGGTTAGCAGCCCAACTGAGTAATAGTCAAAATAGCAAGGCTCCATAGCAATGGAGCCTATATACACAGCCTTTTCACATCTTCTGAAGAAAAAAAATCCAACACATCTGAAACAGTGCAACCTGAGGGGAAGCTATTAGCAATAGCCCATTCTTGCAAAATCCAGAGAAAGCAAAGCCTACACACAGACTTAGCACAAGCCTTAGCTTTGCTCATAGAAACGTTATTTCCTTTGCTGTTACTCTCCACATTTCAAAGGCTTTCCAACCCAGGAAACGCACAGAAACCAAGCCTTGACTGCCAGTGGGAAAAATTAGCAGAATTGAGTAGGGCCAAAAGGCATCTAAGTAGTAATATAGAAATAAAAATAAAATAATAACAATAATAATTTAAAAAAAAACAACTTTGGGAGCCTAAGAAGAGGGCGTTTAAAAAAAAAAATTCAATACATGAGGGAGGCCAAAAAGCTAGGAGCACTGATATCTGCAAGACTGCTGAGCACTAAAGCCCCTTCCCCCAGACACCACACACACACCGTGAAGAAACAGTATTTCTTGGCCAGCAGCAGAGGGAAATGTGAAGAAACTATGAGTCAGCAACTTGACAATGTCTACATTGTATGATTCATGTAAGATCTAGTAACTGTACATTTTTCTGTCTAGTCAGAAAGGTGAGGAATATCATGATAACTAAACCACAAAAAAAAAAAAACCCCAACCCCACACACAACCCCCTAGACTCTATTGCACATTGCATTTTAACAAAGATGACATGGTCATCAGAATCAAAACTAAGCACTCCTGTAATGTGAGTATGCTTTTAAAGTACATGGATCAACTTTTTGGCAAGCAAATCAGATGTGCTCAGCAAAAGCATTTTGAAATTCTTCCTTAGTATTTCCACTGGGTTGCAGGGAAACATCATATATGCAGTACCTCACCATATACTACCTCTAAAGTTACCAATTAGATTTTAGTCTGCAGTCATTGCTTCCACAGTTAAGGTTAAATGAAAACAGAAACACATAACAGAAAACATTAAGGAGTTTCAGCCTGGCCAAATCATTCAAGCTGAAAATTTTCCAAGTCAAGCCTCTGCTTCAGAGCATTTCTGAATTTTAACAAACATGGGACAGCTGTTCTTAAGAATTAGTTGCTTCTAACAGGGTTAGGGGAAAAAATTTGGTATTTTTGCAAGTGGTTTAAAAAAAAAAAAAACAAAAAAAAACCAAATACCATCAACACATTCCCACATTCCCCCCCCCCCCAAAAAAAAAAAACCCTAGAACCTTCCACATGTTGGAGTAAGGATATGAAATCTGGCAGGAGAAAAGGCAGGAAACAGTTCTCAACATGCAGTTAAACAGTTGCTTTCTACCTGCTTAGCCACCAAGTCTGAAGTTTTCCAGGCCTCTGGGAAAAAATTGTCAGTATTATATTATGCTCAGCAGAAGTTTATCACAGTTTGGCAGCTATATTTTCTGAGGATTCTGTTTACCCTGGGCAAGCTCCAGCTGAGCACTACAAAGGCCAGAGCTTTCCTCCAAAAAAACAACTCTCCTCCTTGCAACCCCAACCCTGCAGCGCATGCCACTGGGCCTGGAGAGGGAAACTACATTTCCAGCGCTCTCCATGATCTCCAGTGCTCCACAGCTTGGGGAAAAAGAAGATGAAAGAAAGCTAAAAACCAAGGAGGAAACAAGAAACCAGTGGAGAGGCAGGCACAGAAATACAGACAAGTATCTTTTTCCCTGCTGGGAAGGTATGCCAGAGGGTTAGGATTTACAGGCAATTACTACTAAATCTCACATTCCCTCTATGGCCTGTTAAACAGCCATGAAACGTATCAACAAAATGGATTTACAATTACCCTTTAACGAGAAAACACCTAGCTGGAACTGGTATCGCTAACTTTAATACTGCACGTGCTGAGTTTCAGCTGCAGGTATTAAAATTCCTGCCTGTCAAAAGTCTTCTGGGGAACTGCTGCAACAACAATACCACAAGATTAAATTTCCAATCAGTCAGATTTTCCTTGGTGCCTGTATGGAATTTCTCTTTTGTTAAGGTTTCCAAAGAGTGCATATGTTTTCTTTTAAAAGATGATGCAGGGGAACTTCAGAAAGACACAATGCAATAATTAATGTTGAAAACTAGCTGGACTTCCATAGCGGACCAATGGGATGTTGAAAGAAAGCAGTCATGACCTTGGATTATTCCTTCGGTTTTACATAAATCATAACAAGAGAAGGGGGAAAAAAGAAAAAAAAAAAGCTATCTGTTGAATCACAGTGACTCTTCCTGCAGAATCTTGAGTATCCTTGGTGATCAATCAACCATGTGTTGACCACGCCTAAATATTAAGTGCAAAAGATCCGTACAACTCAGGAATAAACTAATACAAGTGATGCAAAACTATGCCAAAACCATTTACATAAAAAAAAAACGGTGG